CCCGCACCCCACCTCCAACCTCCCTCCCAGTCTCTGCACCTGCCCCCCCTCCTGAACTCCTGCCCAGATCATAGAATCATAGGGCTGGAAGAGACCTTAGCAGGTCATTGATTCCAGCCCCCTTCCCAAAGCAGGACCAATCCCAACTAAATCAACCCAGCCAGGGCTTTGTCAAGCTGGGATTTAAAAACCTCTAGGGATGGAAATTCTACCACCTCCCTAGGTAACCCATTCCAGTATTTCACCACCCTCCTAGTGAAATAGCTTTTCCTAATATCCAACCTAGACCTCTCCCACAGTAACTTGAAATCATTGCTCCTTGTTTTGCCATCTGTCACTACTGTGAACAGCCTTTCTTCATCCTCTTTGGAAGCTCCCTTCAGGAAGTTGAAGGCTGCTATCAAATCCCCCCTCACTCTTCTCTTCTGCAGACTAAATAAGCCCAAATCCCTCAGACTCTCTTCATAGGTCATGTGCTCCAGCCCCCTAATCATTTTGGTTGCCCTCTGCTTGACCTTCTTCAATGCGTCAACATCCTTTCTATTGTGGGGGGCCCAGAACTGGACATAATACTCCAGATGTGGCCTCACCAGTGCCAAATAAAGAGGAAAATAACTTCTCTAGATTTGCTGGAAATACTCCTCCTAATGCACCCTAATATGCCATTAGCCTTCTTGGCTACAAGGGCACACTGTTGACTCATATCCAGCTTCTCATCCACTGAAATCCCTAGGTCTTTTTCTGCCATACTCCTACTTAGCCAGTTGGTCCCCAGCCTGTAACAATGCTTGGGATTCTTCTGTCCCAAGTGCAGGACTCTGCACTTGTCCTTGTTAAACCTCATCAGATTTCTTGGTGCCCAATCCTCCAATTTGTCTAGGTCACTCTGGACCCTATCCCTGCCCTCCAATGTATCTATCTCTCCCTGTAGCTTAGTGTCATGTGCAAACTTGCTGAGGGTGCAATCCATCCCCTTATCCAGGTCATTAATAAAGATGTTGAACAAAACCAGTCCTAGAACTGATCCTTGGGGCACTGCACTTGAAACTGACCACCAACCTGACATTGAGATGTTGATGACTACCTGTTGGACCCAACAGTGTAGCCAGCTTCCTACCACCTTGCAGTCCATTTATCCAATCCATATTTCCTTAACTTGCTGGCAAGAATATTATCATAGAATCATAGAACACTAGAACTGGAAGGGACCTTGTGAGGTCATCGAGTCCAGTTCCCTGCCCTCACAGCAGGACCCAGGACCCTCTAGACCATACCTGATAGATGCTAATCTAGATGCTCTTAAATATCTCCAGAGATGGAGATTCTATAACCACCCTTATTCCAGTGTTTAATTATCCTGACAATTAGGAAGTTTTCCCTAATGTCCACCCTAAACCTCCCTTGCTGCATTGCTTCTTGTCCTATTATCAGAGGCCACGAAGAACAATTTTCCCCCCTCTTCCCTGTGACACCTTTTTAAGAACCTGAAAACTGGTATCATGTCTCCCCTCAGTCTTCTCCTTTCCAAATGAAACAATCCCAATTCTTTCAGTCTTCCTACATACGTGATGTTCTCTAGACTTTTAATCATTCTTGTTGCTCTTCTCTGGACCTTCTCCAATTTCTCCACATCTTTCTTGAAATGTGGTGCCCAGAAATGGACACAATACTCCAATTGAGGCCTAATCAGAGCAAACTAGAGTGGAAGAATGACTTATGTCATACTCACAACACTCCTGTGAATGCACCCCAGAATCATGTTTGTTTTTTAGGTAACAGCATCACACTGTTGACACATATGAGGCTTGTGGTCCACTCTGAGCCCTAGATCTCTTTCTACAGTACTCCTTCCTAGAGAGTCACTTCCCATTCTGTATGTGTGAAACAAATTGTTCCTTCCTAAGTGGAGTACTTTGCATTTGTCTTTATTAAACTCCCTCCTATTTACTTTAGACTGTTTCTCCAGTTTGTCCAGATCATTTTGATTTATGACCTTATCCTCCAAAACAGTTGCAACCCCTTCCAGCTTCGTATCATCTCCAAACTTAATAAGTGTATTCTCTATGCCAATATCTAAATCATTGATGAAGATATTGAACAGAATCAGTCCCAAAATAGACCCCTGTTATGCCCTTCCAGCAGGATTCTGAACCATCAATAACTGTTCTCTGAGAATGATTATCCAGCCAGTTATGCACCCATCTTATTGTAACCCCATTTAAGTTGTATTCCCTAGTTTATTGAAAGGAAGATCATGCAAGACTGTATCAAATGCCTTATTACATAATGGCTACGTCTACACTGGCATGATTTTCCGAAAAAAGTTTTCCGTTAAAAGCATTTTCGGAAAAGCACGTCTAGATTGGTAGGATGCTTTTCTGCAAAAGCACTTTTTGTGGAAAAGCGTCTGTGGCCAATCTAGACGCGGTTTTCCACAAAAAAGCCCCGATCGCCATTTTCACGATCGGGGCTTTTTTGCGGAAAACAGTACTGTGCTGTTTACACTGGCCCTCTTGCGCAAATGATTTGCGCAAGAAGGCTTTTGCCCGAACAGGAGCAGCACAGTATTTCCGCAAGAACACTGACGATCTTACATGAGATCGTCAGTGTTCTTGTGGAAATTCTAATGGCTAGTGTAGACAGCTGGCAAGTTTTTCCGCAAAATCATATGATTTTGCAGAAAAATTTGCCAGTCTAGACACAGCCTTTAGGTATACCACATCCACCGCTTCTCCCTTATCCACAAGACTCATTATCAAATCAAAGAAGTCTCTCAGCACAGACAGCTGGACTAACCCATGTTGGGCCTGGGCAGTGCTGGTAGAAGGTGCTGCATATGCAGCTCTGCCTGGCCCTATGTGTCTGCCCCAGCCCCGCCCTTATTTGAATGTGGAGGAAAAGGAGTTGCAAGGGAGGTCGTGAATCCCACTATTCAGGATGTAGCCAGTTCCCCATGGATGGACACCCCAACTTGTGGGTGCTGTGTGCTGCAGGTCAGCCCCTCTGCCTAGCCCTCATGGAGCACCTGGAGCCCCACTTCCATCCTGTCCCATCCACCCACCAATGCCAGTGGTCTGGGAAGGGAAATGGGGCAGGGCCAGTTCAGAGGACCGGCCTGGTCTTTTGGGGGACACAGCTGGTCCTGATCCCAGTCTCTGCACCTCTCTGCCTGGCAGGGGAAGGACTAGCTAGACTAGGATGAATGACAACACACCACTGTAGATAAAATGTAAAACTTTATTATTACTTCAACAAATTGGAACCCTGTGAAAAGTGAAGGCTGAGATCATGTGATGGCTCCTTTTAGGCAATTTGAGCCAACTTGGGCTTTTTTATGTTTTCCCCCTGAACACACACACAGAGGCTCCCTCACACAGCTTCCCCCCTCCCCGCCAACAGGTCACGTTCCCCACTGGGGCTGTGCCGTGAGGCATTTGCAGTTGTTGCTCTCATGCCATCTCCTTACACAACCCAGGCAGAGAGAGTGGTCTGGACGCAGGGCGCCCAGCTATTTCCTCTTGCTCCCCCTCTGGGTGTGTGAGGCTGTGATGGACCGGGCCGGGTCTGGGCATAGCTGAGGGCGTTTGCTCATGGCAAACTGCTCAAATTCAGGGCTCTCCCTAGCCCCCAGACTGGAGGAATTCCCAAATAGGCCACAAACCAGTCCCACAGAGCGATTCAGCTGCCTGCCTGAAGCCTCACGAGCAAAACCCCCCACAACACCTCAGCAATATCCGTGCCCCAGATGGCCCTGGGCCTCAGGCACTGGCTTAACGCAGTGAAACAGCCCAAATTGAGGGTGTCCGCCACGGCACCCCCGCTGCAAAAACAGCCCCGGCAGCGCCGTGCTGAGCGCCTGCGCGTCTCCCTGGCTCCCAGCTTCCCGCAGGGAGACAGGGACAACACCGAGCCAGAGCCTGTCTGCTTCCACTCACTGCATTTCCGCTTCCAGCCCTTGTGTTACCTGGGGCTTTCCTGGGAGCTGAGTCTCTTTGCCCTGGCTGGTTTGAAGAACCCTTTGAACATTTCCTGTTAGCCCCAAAGGCTGTGTCTACATTGGTGCAATTTTGCGCCAAAGCGGCCGCTTTGGGGCAAAAACATGCTGCCTGTCTACACTGGCAGGGAGCTCTTGCACAAGAACTATGATGTTCTAATGTGTGAAGTCAGTGCTTCTTGCGCAAGAACTATGATGCTCCCGCTCAGGAATAAGCCCTCTTGCGCAAGAGGCCAGTGTAGACAGGCAATATGAATTTCTTGCACAAGAAAGCCCGAGGGCTAAAATGGCCATCGGAGCTTTCTTGCACAAAATCGCATCTATACTGGCCACAGATGCTTTTGTTCAAAAGCACTTTTTGTGCAAAAGCATCCGTGCCAATCTAGACACTCTTTTGCAGAAATACTTTTAATGGAAAAACTTTTCAGTTAAAAGTATTTCCACAAAATCATGCCAGTCTAGATATAGCCTAAAGGTTTATTACTACATGAAAGAAAAGCAGGAGAGTAAGGTTGTTAAAGTAGCATAAGGTTGTTAAAGAATCTCCCAGTTCTCGATGCAGGCTCTAGCACAGATGTTATAGCTGCTGGCTTAAAAGTCCTTGGTGCACATCCTGTCAGAATGGGTCCACAATTCTTCCCGGCTCGTGATTCCCTGAGAGGCCGCATCTGGGGTCAAAAGCAGATCTGAAGACCAAGATGGAGTTGGCCACATGGCATATTTATACCTCCTTCCTGCTCTCTTCTTGGCTGCAGCAGGTCACCTGGCCCATGGCCTATCCCTCTGTTCCCTGCTGGTAGCCCCTAGGCATGAGTCACCATTCTTGAGGTGTGTCCTTAGCCTATAGAGGGCTATTGTTCCATAGAGACTTGCTCGTTAGCATGTCCATAGGCTGAGCTGCTTTGCCCATAGTTCAACCACATATAGAGAAACATTTGGTATCCACACAAAGTACATGCTTATAACTTCACACACAGACATTATACAATTACATGAATAGCATATATGGAATCAGAAGAAAGTAGGCTTCTATTTGACACCTCACATGGCCCCCCTTTGTGCCACTTCTGGGGCCAACAGCCCCCCATGGATGCGGCAGTGACCCGACTGCTCCCTTCAAAATCCAATAACGTGACAGAGGCAGAGGCACAGCAGTAAGGGAGCTAATAGCAATGCTAGTTGCTATGTGCAGCCATGCAGCGGTGAAAGGAACTGAACCTTTCTTACAGGCACTGTCCTGTTGCCACCCTGGGCTCTGCCAGCTCTTTCCATAGCTCCCTGCTGGCTTCCATGGCAGCCCAGCCCCCTCTTGCTGGAGCTGTGTGCCCCCTCTCTTTCATCTTTGCCTCTAGGGCAGTTTCCCCATGGAGGTGCAGAAGGAGAATGCAGCAGTGAAGGAATGCAGGAGAGGTACCAGGGCTGTCTCTGTGTGTGCTGCCAGCCACCTGACCCTCCCTGCTCCCCACCGGCCCGAACTGGCCGACAAAAAACTGCTGGCAGCAGAGTCACACCAGACCAGGAGGGGAATGGAGCCTGGCTGTGAGTCACAGCAGGTTTGCTCTGCTCACTGGGCCTTGTTCTCTTTGCACTGGCTGTGGGCAATCAGCTCAGGCCAGCAGCGAAGGGGCTCTGCATCTGGGACAGGCAGGCATGGAGCAACCTGGCTATCATCCCATCAGCGTTTCTCGTGCTCCGAACCAACCGTCCACCATGTGCCCCGTTCTGTGAATGCCAACAGCAGTCTTTTCTTTTTTGGCTTAGCACACAGCAACTGCTGAGGTACTGCAGGGGCAGGTACATTGTGCTCATAATACACAGCACAGTACTGAAGAGGACTTGAACCTGGAACCTCTGGAGCTTAGTATAGGAGCCTCTAGCCTCTGAACTAAAAGCCACCTGGCTCTCAGCCCCTGCTATAGAGGTCTCTTCTTAGCTGTTGCTGTGGTCTAGGTGCCACTGCATGGGACAGTGAACCACACTAGGTGAGGGGTTACACAGGGTCCATGTTTTCTGATGCAGAAAGCAGGATGAAATGTACTCGGATGCCTGTGGAATGATGGGAAGGAGAAAACTGTATCATGGGACACTAAACCTGTCCCCATAGGACATTGCAAACCATTCCCAAAACACCCGGTGTTAAGAGGGTGATGAGTTGCAGTGGGACATGTACCCACAATGCACTGTTCTCTGTGGCAATGCAGGAGCTGCTACTGTGGACCTGCTCTCCCAACACAAAGAGGATAATGAGGACATACAACAGCAGATTAATTACAGCCGGGATTATAAATGGGTGTAATTTAAATTGACTTAATTCTGTTGTGTAGACAAGGCCTCTGTATTTTTCCTCTTTGCAAATTCATCAGGTTTGCTACAGATCCAGTTCCTTTTTGTGTAGCACCCTGAACTGCGGACAGCGATTCCAAATACATAGGCACATTCTCCTCCTCCTCCTATTTGAACCCTGCAAAAAAAAAAAAAAATGAAACTACAGTCAGGGACTAGAGCCTTCCCTCTGATCTCAGAGGACTCCTGAGAATAAAACTGACCCCTGTGTACGAGGCTATTGCAATTAGTGAGAATAATGGATTTTTTTTTTCAGTTCCCTAGCAATTAAAAAAAATATAGAAGATATTTTGCAAAAAGAAAAAATGGAGAATAAAAAAGTAGAAAAAAATAGTTTGGGGTCAAAATGTTTTGTCTGACAAAAAGAGAAATACTTCATTATGATTCTGACCATTTAAACCAGTGTTACTTAAACTTTTTAAGACTGAGGAACACCAAACAATATTTTTTTAATGAGGTACACCAAGGATTTTGGGGGGGGGGGGGCAGCGGAAAGTTATTGACCAAAAAAAAGGGTCGGGGGGAAAGTTTTGAGGAAATAAAGGGAGAACAACTGTGTTGTTCTCCATGGCACACCTCCGACTACCTCGTGGCACACTGGTGTGCCATGGAACACAGTTTAAGAAACACTGATTTAAACAATGTAATTGTTTTAAAATCATATTAAAGGAAATTCCAAAACAAAAAAACTTTGTTTCAAATGAAAAGCAAAAAATGTTGATTTTTTTAAAAAAAGGATTCTTGGTTTTTAACTGAAAATATTTCAGGAAACCAACATGGATTCACAAATTATTTCAGTGCAGCTGAATGTGGCTATTTGGAAAAAAGTTCTAGCTCTAAAACATCAAAAAATTCCAGGGGGGCACAAGGTAACCCAGCCCTCTTCCCCCATCAAATGTTGCTCCGATCAGTTTCTTTTATTTTGCTCAATAAGTTTTGCTGCTATTTTGTGTGTGGGAGGAGGGGGGACATGAGGGTTTCTCAAAAATAAAAAGGGGGTGTGGTGCCGAAAAGTTTGGGAACCACTCCTCTAAACATTTCACTTAGTGGTATTAAAAGACTTAACAATGACTTAAGTCTCTGACAATAGCATTTCTTCTGTTAGTTTTACCCTGCAAACTAGCACAGAATTGGCATCTACATTTTAGGTAAGATACTGAATTATTACACAAGCAAACTAAGACTCAATGATTATTTCCTGTAAGTCTGTCTGAATTCAGCCTTTCAGTTATGTGAAACGTCCACTCCACATATTGGCTTCCTGCTCCCATAGCCATGCTACTCTGGCAAGAAACGTTGCCTTAGTTCCTGCTCTTCTCCTACTGGACAAGAGACTGCACAGGGAACACAATTGGGCAAGTATTGCTGCTAGGATACAGTAAGAGGCTGAGGAGAGGTTCTGTCTATCATAGTCTGATCCAAATCACCCCTTGAGCACCTCACAATCTTTATAGATCCTCACAACTCCCCTGCTTTTATATCTCATTTACAGACGGGGCATGGGGAGGCTAAGAGACTTGATCAAGGTCATACAGGGAGTTTGTGGCAGAGCAAAGAATTGAGCCCAGATCCCCTACTATCAGATGAGGGCTGTAACCATTGCTCCATCCTTCTTGCTAAGGGAGCAGCCTTGGTCTCTACTAGCCTGCAGGGCCTTTGAGAATCAGCCAGAGCCAATGGGAAGGAAATGCTCTGATTGATGAAGGCAGGACAGGTGCTAGAGGGGCATTTGTACTGTGCATTTGCCAGTGAAGATGTTAGAGTGATTTCTGAGTGGACTCCTGCCTCCCCAAGCACTGTAGGAGGGGGTCTCCATCCATCCCACAGCACGCGGGGGGAGTTCAGAACTGACCAACAGACCGCTGGAACCAGAGCTCAACTGTGACCCAAAACAGCGAATAGAGACTCACAGGTTGACTACTGAGCCATTGGGCCACTTCCAGGGCTGGCCTGGTTCCCTCCTGAGGCCGATCCAGGCATCCAGGTAGCCTTTTTGTCGCATCAAGAAATCCTATTAATGCAAAGGGGAAAGAGACGTTAGGAAGCAAATCTGTTGTGCTCATTGGTATCTCCCTACTCAGACTCATAGAGCCTGATTCTCTGTTATGCAAAGGCAGAGCAGTGTCACAGGGCCTCCGTGTAACACAGAACTCTGACCCTAGATCCAAAAGGACCATCAGGTGATCTAGCCTGATCTGCGAACAAGGACCAGAGGAGTCCCCCCAGTGACTCCTGCATCCAGCCCCCAATTTCTGGTTGAGCTGAGGTGTGTCATTTAGAAAGTCACCCACACTTGCTTTTAAGGCCTGCAACTGACAAAGACTCCACAACCTCCTTTGGAAGCTGCTCCCATGCTACCGACAAAATGTCACGCCTTGCTTCAAGGGAGAATTTATCTAGTTTCTGTACCTCTGAATCTTCCTCTGCCTTGTCTATTCTAGTATCCAGTTTCTCCCTGTGCAGGTCAGGCCAATGCCAAGACCCTTAGAAAAGCCTGCCCATATTTTCCCCATGCCTCAGTTCCCCTCCTCAGTCTGTAAAATGGGGATAATAATTGTCTTTGTTTTGCATATTTAGAGAGTAAGATGATCAGCACAGGGCTTTCACTTTATTCCTGTGCAGCGCCCAGTGCGACAGGGCCCTGATCTCAGCTGGGGCAGGGACAATCTCTTTCTGTGTGTCTGTGCAGCACCCGTCAGAGCAGGGCCCTGACCTCAGCTGTGGCAGGGACTGTCTCTCGCTGTGGGGCCTGATCTCAGCTGCAGCAGGCTAGGGACAGTGTCTTTCAGTTCAGAACACAGCATAAAGTGGCCTGATCTGAATTGAGACTCACTGCTCAATATGATTTTTATTTTGCATTTAGCTATGGTTTTGCCCTGATTTGGGAGGTGGCAGTTGCCTCACATCAGGGCGTGCTATTCTTTTTCTCCTGGCCTAAGCTAATTTTGATTATAGCAATAATCCTCTCTTTTTTATTATTTCATCACCTTTTCTTTTAGGGTGTCAAACCCAGCCAAGGAAGCAGCATGAGAAGAGCATGAATGTTGGCTCGCGGTCCAGTTTGCTTCATCGTTAGGGAAAAAGTAACATTTTTCATGGTACCCGATCCAGTCTTCTGGGCAGCAGGCAGACGGGCAATCGGGAGGAGTCACGCAGACCTTTGCCACTGAAAAGTAAGAAGGGGTAAGAGCATCTCTTTCTTCTCCCATGATCCCCTCTCAGTATCGCCTGGGAATCAGAGGACAAACACCCAACAGACACAGGTCATCTGGTGGCCACAACAGGGTGAGAGTTACAGAGACCCGATCCAGTCTTCTGGGCAGCAGGCAGACGGGCAATCGGGAGGAGTCACGCAGACCTTTGCCACTGAAAAGTAAGAAGGGGTAAGAGCATCTCTTTCTTCTCCCATGATCCCCTCTCAGTATCGCCTGGGAATCAGAGGACAAACACCCAACAGACACAGGTCATCTGGTGGCCACAACAGGGTGAGAGTTACAGAGAGAAATGGTCCCCAAATCAGAGTCAAGCTCCTACTTTGAAATTGGATCGTGTGAGAACCCTTTGGACTGCAAAGCAAAAATTATGAGATTTATTCGTAGACACAAACACTGGGTGTTACCTTTCAAGCAGAGGTGTGAAACATCTTTCCCATTTAGGGTACATCTAGACTACATTCTTTTTTCGAAAGGAGATATGCAAATGTTGTGCTAATTTGCATATCTTCTTCCAATCGCTTTTTCGAAAGCGTTTTTTCGAAAGTGAAAGCAGTTTATATGTTTTTTTCCAAAAGAACCCCCCTTTTGAGAAAAAACCCTGTCTAAATTGCTTTCACTTTTGAAAAAAACACTTTTGAAAAAGCAATTGGAAGAAGATATGCAAATTAGCACTGCATTTGCATATCTCCTTTGAAAGAAGAATGCAGTTTAGATGTACCCTAAAAGTACAGTATTCAAACCTGCTCAGTGCTGGGCTAACGTATGAAAATCAGTGGTTAACCCCCTCCCCCATGCTCCTAATGTATTGCTCTGACCTGCATGGTACAGTCAAATTCTGGTTAAAATAATAAAATGATTATAAAAATACTGAGTCCTTTTATAGCTCTTTTAAACCATAGAGCTCAGAGTGCTTTTCAGAAAAGGTCAGTATCATTACCCCTGTTTTACAGATGGGGAAACTGAGGCACAGAGGGAGGGGCAGTGGCTTCACCAAGATCACCCAGTGGCAGAGCTAGGAATACAACCCAGGGCTGTTGAGACCCAGTCAAGTGCTCTGTCCACTAGACAACCATGCCTCCCTGTAGCAGCTCCACTTTCACCTTTTTAAAAATGTCACAGTTAGCCTTCATGGTACCGACGAGAGCTTCCAAATATGACCCAAGCGCTACCCATGCAGCATCTGACTGAGTTTATAGCGAGCTTGAGACATTGGGTCTGAGAGAGGAGATGCTGCCCTGAGCGAAACCACCATGGCAACACTGCTTGCAGACAGCCAGTTGCTCTGAGAGGTGAGAGCTGCCCTCCCAGCCAATGTGTCTCATCAGGGGTCGGCAACCTTTTCAAGCCAAAGAGTCCCATCCACTCCACCTTCCCCCAAGGCCCCTCTTCCCTGCCCTGTTCTGCCTTCACCCCTGAATGCGCTGCACCCTCTCTGCTCCCACCATCCCTCAGTGCCTCCCAATGCTGCAAAACCTGCTCTGTGACAGGCAGAAGACACTCCTCCTTGTCCCACCCACCTGCCTTCTGTCTCATCTCCCTGCCCAAAGTGCAGGACCCAGGGTGAAGGTCCCTGTACTCCAGGGTCAGCTCTGGTTCTAGGGCTGAATGGAAAACACAGTGAGGGGGCTCCACGCTCACCTGACAGAGCAATCACGGTGATTAAGGTCACTGGAAGTAGAACTGCAACAGCTCCTGCACTTGTGGTCATGCCACCGACCTGTCAGAGAACAAGCCATCAGCACTCACCAGGCTGCCCTGGAGTCGAGGCTGAGTGATGGGGTGTGGGAACATAGGAATCGTCAAAACTGGATGAGACCCCAGGGGCCAATTCCTTGGTGCTCAGGAAGGAGCACCCATGAGAAAAATCTGGTGGTACCCACCAGACACCTGCAGACTGGGATTAGCAGGGGCGGGAAGTAGCGGAATGATGGCAGGGTGCACTCAGGGGCAGGGCAGGAAGGGGCAGAGCAAGTGTTAGGCCTTGGGGGGAAGTGTGGAATGTAGGCAGGGCCTCAGCGATGGAGGAACTACCCAGAAAGAAGAAAGTTGGCCCAGAGCCGCCTCCCGCCCTCTGTATCAGAGGCAGCAGCAGGTAGGAGCTGTCTGACTCTGCGTGTAACCACTGACATTATCAGTGGTTACTCGATTACTTAATTAAACATATTTTAACACCCCTACTTGCAACTAGGGAATCTCTCGGCCCACATAACCTGGCTGTGCCCTGCCACTTTGCCTCATTCCTAGGACAGTGCCTACACTTATTTGCATCTCTCTTTACTACACAAAGGGATTATGATTTGCTCCTTTTGTTGAGCTTGAAGGGAGGGCACCAGGCAAATCCCCTGTCTTTAAGAAGGTCTGTGATTGTCTTCAGCTCAAAGACTCCCTTGATGGGAGCTTTAAGCATAACAATTAAATACAAA